AATAAAAAATATGTGTTTAGAATTTTGGTAAGTATAATTTTTTTATTAAGTATTTTAATGTATCACCAACAAAGAGTATGTTGCTAAAAATGTGGTTGATACTATTTAGAATAATTATTAGCAACAATGGGTAGGTTGTTGAAAATGTGGGTGGAAGCATAAAAATAAATATCAGCAACATAGTTTTTCTTGGTAAAAGTTGAAAATAAGCAACGTGGCTTTTCTTAATGAAAATTAAGCAGAATTTCGGTGCCGATTTTCGGTCATATTCCTCTCAATTTTTAGCAACATGAGTCACGTTACTAAAACTTTATCTTCAGCAACGTGTCTTATGTTGCTAAATGGGGAGAGAAAATTCACCCCTATTCCCACCGGATTTCGATGAGTGTTTTTAGCAGCTAATACTATATTTTTAATAACGTAACTCATGTTGCATTGAAAACTCATGTTGCATTGAAAACTCATGTTGTTGATACATCAGCAATAAAATTTTGGTTGGTAATGTATTATCCACCAAACCTTCTCCAACAGAACTTTTAACAATCATAAAATTTTGGTTGGTAATGTATTATCTACCAAACCTTCTCCAACAAAACTTTTAACAATCAAAATCATGTTCCTGAAAGACTTTCAATAACATGAGAGGCACTTTTAGGAACATGAAGACGAGGATTTTAGTAGTGCATTCGGTATTGATTTGGTTATAATTGAGAACCAAAATATTAAAACTGATTATTTTAGTTATTAAACCAAAACATCCATAAAAAAATCTTGTTCAATTTTAATTACTAAAACTAAAAATAAAAAATAATTAAAAATTTAATTTTAGTTAGATCAAAACCGAACCATTTCCAGGCCTACCAACGGCTGCTCAGTTACATTATTCTTTCTCAAATTAAAACAAAACTCAAATATAAGCGGTAATGGAGGGGATAGTAACTGAGTTTGGTTCTCTGAGGAAAATTGAGTTTGGTCAAGAAAATTTGTTCTAAAAAAGGTAAAAATAAACAATTTTTGCCCCTTTTAGAGCCAAGTTATTCTGGCCAATTGGCAGAATAAAATAAAATTGTGTCAGCTAATCACTTTAATAGTAGAGACCTGTGGGCTTATGATAGGTCACTCTGTCAAGCTTCTGATTTTTTTTTTTTTTTTTTTATGATTGTCAATTCTTTTGTCCTTTTTTTTAATATAAATGTAAGTGAAATAATATAATAATATAAATTTTGAGAAGGTTTTATTTTATTATGAGTTTTTTTTATTTAGTGTTTTTAGAATACATAATAAAAGTATATTTATTATTTTTTATTATAAATATAGATGAAAAATGTAAAAAATGATATTAATTTTAATATTAAGTGAATTTAACTAAATAGTTGATAAATTAAAAATT